GGCAACAGCAGGGGAGCGGCAGCTTCCTCGGGCCTCTGCTTTCGCTCCGGGCCGGCCACTCACCGGCAGAGAACGCCCGGCCTGCAGCAGGGCTGCAGCCTGACCCCAGCACGTGCCAGGTCTGACAAATGCTGGCTCCCTCTGGGAGACTCCTCCCCTGCTCTGCGGCTGGGAGGACAGGGAAGCAGCCCAGCCGGCCTCGCTCAGAAGCGAAGGGGTCTGGGTGGGGACGGGCACGGGGTCCTCCTCTCCTCTCTCCCGAGGGACGCCCCTGGACTCCCAGTGGGGTTCGGCCCCCACATACCCCTGCGAGCCGCAGCGCACGTGCTCCACCTCACCCCCCGCACGTCCCGGCTCAGCCGGGCCCTCCCTGAACCTGCTCAGAACGCTCGCACCCGCCCAGAGCTGGACCAGCACCTTGAAGTCCACCCGAGGCAGGAACGCCGCAGCCCACCTGCCCTCGCCCCCCAAGGCCGGCCACCAGGCTGCTGCTGTGCCCGGCATCGCCAGGGTGCCATGTGGCCTCCCACGACACCGGAGGCCGGGAAAGGATCAAAAGTTAACATGCCGTGTGTGGTTTCCATTGAATGTGTATCACCTTCACGCCACTGTCAGGTCCAAAAAGAAAAAAAGCCCTGGCTGGGGTGGCTCAGTGGTCGGAGCACTGACCTGAGAACCAAACAGTCGCCAGTTCGATTCCCAGTCAGGGCACAGGCCTGGGTTTCAGGCCAGGTCCCCAGGTGGCCCGAAGCAACTGATGGATGTTTCTCTCCCTCCCTTCCCCTCTCGCTGAAAAATAAATCAATAAAATCTTAAAAAATAAATAGAACAAATCGAACTGTCCTAAACAGGGGACCGTCTGCACTTACTTACTTACTGTTATCTTCAGTCCCTCACCAGCGCACAGACGTACTGAGTACGAAACAAACACGTCCTCGAGGACGTGTGCTGGAATCGGTGAGTGTCAGGAGACAAGGAAGGGCATAAGTGCTGAGAGCAGTGAGCACGTGGCCCTCTCACTACACACTGGGTGTCCTCCCCGGAGGAGGAGGTGATGGAGGGTCAGGCAGGACACCGCTCCTCGGGGACGACAACCCCGCAGGGGCAGAGCGGTGTCAGCGTCCCGGTGATAACCGCCAGGGAAGCGCAAGGGACAGGATCCCACAACCACCTCGTGGTTCACACTCGCCGCCAAGGTTTCCTGCTCCGACGGCGGGCTTCGACCCGCCAGAGCGGCGACACCGCCCCGGGAGCACGCCGGGACACCAGGACCCCTCCCTGCCCGGCAAGCCCACGCCGAGGCCACGAGTCCCCGTCTGCACCGGCCGTCACGGGCGGCGGCGGCGGCGAGCGCAGGGAGGGAAGCCACCTCCGATCTGATCTGTCCTGGACGCACGTGAGGACGGTCCGTGGAGTCCAGGCGGAAGAGCAGCGCCTCCCATCGGGCGTTCAAGGGGACTCAGCGGAGGCACTGTCCTCCCAGGCAGAGGCGGGGCGTCGGGGGGACCGCCAGGGAGGTGGAACAGGCCCCGGCGGCCGGACCAGGAAGCACCGCCCCCTCCAGGCCTTCGGGCGGCGAAGGGGGTTACCAGAACCCAGGAAGACCTGTACCTGGAGCTGGCGGGCGCAGGGGCCACGGAACAGAAGGAGTGACCCGGTCACAAAACGCTGAGCAGCTCCGGCGACCACACCAGCGGCAGGCCAGGCCTCCCGCTCACGTCCCGTCGGCCACGGCCAACCAGGCACCTGAGAGCAGGAGCTCAGCCGCCACAGCCCATGGAAGTCACTTCCCAGAGCGCAGAGCAGGGCAGGGGAGAGGGCAATGATCTGGAGGGCACGGGAGGGCATTCTAAGTGCCTGCCACCCCGCAAAACACAGGCCCACCAGCGGTTTGCCAGTCCCACCAAATCTGGACAGCACGGGCGGCCCCCCGCGAAGTCACAGGTGCTCACCTGAGCTCCTGCCGCCCTCTATCAGCCTGGGACAGGGACAGGAAGACTCTGAAAGGAACTCCAGGCCACTGTGGTCATTGCTGCATCTCTAACAGTAAACAGACGCCCGCTTATCTACACGGCCCCGTCCCTGAGACCACTCCCTTCTCCACACTCAAAGGGCACCCGGTCCAGACCTCCACTAGCCTCCTTATCGCGATGGACCCTAGCCTCTGGGCGGCGTCTCCCGCACTAGACCCTGAGCTGATTCAGGGCGGGGCTTCCCCACCCACCTTCGTGTCCCCACCACCTCCGGGACCCGGCCAGGGGGCAGCCTTCAGTCGGCGTGCCCTGAGCCCATCAGTGGACTCGGGGTCCCTTGGCAGGCAGCCTGAAGCCACGGTGGATAAAACCCGGAACGACCCTCGGCGGCTGAACAGCAACAAGCTTCGTGCAGGGCCTGGCCCCGCCCTGGGGAGACCCAGGGCAGCTTCCTCCTACGCTCCGAACGCCACGGCCTTTCCGACAGAGCTCACCCTCAAGGGGCCAGAGGAAGGCGGCCAGACGGTGCTCGGCTCCGGGAGGAGACCTAGCGCGTCCTCTCTGGAGAGTCTCACTCCTTTTCCGACAACCCACCAGCCCTACCAAGGGCACTGAGAGTCCGGGGGCGTCGCAGGGAGGAGTTCACGGCCACAGGGGCGACAGTGTTGGCGTGCAGGTGCGAGTGCCGATCTGCTCCGCGGCCGCCTGGGCAGACACCACCCTCCATAAAACTATAAAGCAGCCACGTGACTCACGCAGCACTGTCCTGTTAAAATGGATACACTGTTTGATGCTGGGTGGCTATTATCAGGACCTGGAACATGTTTACATTATAATTATGAGTCACTCTCACATAACCCTGTACTCGCGGAGTGCTTAATCATCTTTCTGCTGGAGCAGTCAACTCTCACCTGCAGCTCTCCGCGGAGAAAGTTAATGCCAGCTTGGTAACCCTCTTTCTGCTACCGTGACTTTGGGCTGCCAGGAAGGTGAATAAAAATAAATTTAAAATGACTTGGACTGCACTAGAAAGGTGAGCTTGCTATAAAAAAAACACGCCGTCTTCCAAAACACAGCACGGGAAGATTCTGCCTCTATGGCATCACTGCGCCCCGCCCGCCCCCCCCCCCCAACTGCTGTCTGTAACAGAGCTGATGCTCTTACCTGTGCGGGCATCTTATTACCCAACTGAAGTAGGCCAGTGCTTCATTTCACAGTTAGAAAAGGGGAATTTGGGTCTCATCGTCACAATACATTGAGTTACCACTTTAAAAACTAGAAAACTCCAATAATAGAAAAGCAGATGAAACGTGTTTCGAATAGATCACCTTTCTTTTCCGAAAACATACTCAATTGATAAATCCCCAAAACAAGCTCTTTCCACAACCATCCAGGACGTTTAAAACCCGAAGCACAATGTTGTCGCCTTGATAGAAACCCTGTGCCTCTCAGGTCCCCTCTGAAGGCCAACGACGCCGGCGCCTGGGTGACAACCCAGACTAGAGGAAGCTGTGACCCCTGACCCCGCACTGCGCCCCACGTCCACTTAAAAGGCAAACACGCAGCCCATCTGCCGCGGCCTGCGTCGTCCCGTTAGCTTCGGCTCCCTCAGAGTGTGATGAAGTCTCATTTGTCAGGCAAGACAGTGCTGGGCTCAGAGAAACATGATGTTTGCTTTGTAAGTGACGACCTCCCACAGGGCAGGAAAAGGGGAAATTCTGGCCGAACGGCAGTGTAACCAAATCACCTCTGACCCAGCACGGCCCTCTTCCTTGGTGAAAATGTGAGCGAAGCCTGGCAACACTGAGCACACGCCAAAATGCAAAGGTAAGCTTCCTGTGGAAAATAAGGAAATTTGAATATGTTTCAATAGCATTATTAATAGGTCCTGACATCTGAAGCGATCACTTGTGACCTGTGTTTCTATAAAAACGGTGCTCCAAAATTGCGTTTCCCTTCCCTGACCTGAATTCCTAGCCTTCACTGCCTGCGGAACAATACAGAAAGTGTCTCGGTAAACAATAAAAATGTTTCACAATAAAAATAACCGAAAGGGAATCTCCGTCCACAAACACCAGGTCACCGAAAGCATGGGTCTTCAGCAAGACTTGGAGCCCGGAGGGGGCAGGGGTGAGGCAGGAGCGCGAGACTGCGCTGATCCCGGGGTTCCCTGCCACCACGGGGGCCCCCCGCAGACCCCGAGCCCCGCAGGCCCGGAGCCCCCGCAGACCCCGAGCCCCCACGCAGTCCCGCACTGGACTGCTCCCGAGTCACCGGGCTGCGGCCTGGGACGCTGCCGGGGCCGTGGCGCCGATACCCACACGGAGGCAGGGCTACCCAGCCCTCCGGCGGGTCTTATCGCGGTTCCCACGCGTGTACGGAGTTCACAACGCCCTGCCTTAACAACACTGTGTATTTTAAAAGGTGCAAGTGCCTCCCTCCAACGCCCATCGCTGGTTCGGATGCCTCCAGCTCCGTCTCGTCCAGGCCAAGGAGCCGCGGGCGAGCCGGGGCTGAGCGCTCGCGTCAGGGCGACGCCGCGCCAGGGCTGTCACAGCAGAGCCGAGCCGCGCCGCGCAGGCGAGGGGCGCGCGGAGGAGCAGCGGCAGTTCGGGGTGCCCCCCCACCCCCCAAAGAAAAAGCAAAAGCAAGCTTCTGCAGACCTCGGGGCAGAAACCTGGCACCCTCACCCCCTCGCAACCTGACAATTTACAACCTGGTAACACCTTCTAATTAGGAGCGTTCTGGCCTTTTATAGTCGGAAAATTAAACTGCTTCCCAGCAGGGAGATAAAGCGGGCAGCGGCGCCTGTCTGCGGGACCCCCCGCCCCGGGGCTGCAGCCCGCGACTCCGGTCGCTCCCGAAGCCGCAGGGCCGAGGGCACCCTACGCCGGGGGCAGCAGCGGGCGCGGCGGGCCGGGCGGGCGCGGACGGGCGGGCGCGAAGAAGCGGGCGGGGGGCGGGGCGCAGCCCCAAGCGGGGTCCCGGCGGCGGCGGCGGCGGCGGAGGGGGGCGGCGCGGACGTACCCAGCAGCACGCACAGCAGATCCAGGGCCACGTACGGCAGCCGCGTCCGGTCGAACATGGTCGCGGCCCGGGCGGCGGACAGCGCGCCGATTCACGCACGAGTCCCGGCCGGGCAGCCGCCGAGGGCGAACCGGGCGGGCGGGTGGCGGTCGGACGGCAGCTATGGCGCCGGACCCTCCCCCACAGCGCCGCAACCTCCGGGTCGGGGCCGACACTCCTCGGACGCTCTCCGCCGGCCCGGCCCGCCCCGCGGCTCACCGCCCGGATCGCAGCGCCCTCTCCAACAGGCGGGGCGCCCGCGCTCGAGCTTTAAGGATGGGGAGCGCTGGGAAGGGGCGGCGCAGCACGGGACCGGCAGCGGCGCGCTGCCTCCCCGGCTGAGCGGGCGCGGCGGGGGCGGGCCCGCGGGGCGCCACTCAGGGGCGCTCCGCCAATCAGTGCCCGCCGCCCCGCCCGGCTCGCGGGGGCCGCCCCAGAAGCAGGATGCGCGGTGGCTGGGTGGAGCCTGGGGGCGTCTCCGGGGCGGGCGGGACCGCGGCGCCGTGACCCGCGCACCAGCTGCGGGGGTTTGCTGCTTGGTAGGGAGACCTCGGACCCCGGCAGGACCCCGGAGCCCCGGCTGCCGCCGGCTCTCCTCCACGGCTAGGCACTGACGAAGACCCTCCCTCCGTCTCCGAGCCCTCGAATCACCTAGGCCTACACCTGGGCCTGCAAGCCCGGCCCGGAACCTGCGAAACCGTCCCTTGCGGCCTCGTTGCCTCTGATAAGGGATCCGATTTCTCATCCTCCAGCTTTGGTAGACCAGCCCACGGCCTGCCCTAAGTAACGCGCCCCCGCCCTTACTGCTCCGGGCGGTAATTTTCCACCCACTGGCCCTCAGCTGTGCTGCGGTATGCGGAGCGGAGCGCGGCTCCTCTGCTGCCGTGGGCTTGTACTTGCAAAAGCCGCTCCTACCACGGGAACAAGTGTCACCTACTCTCTTTCAACAGCAGGCAGCTCCCCTCTCACCCCGACTCGGGAGGACTCCAGCTGAGGTTTAGTCATCTCGGCTTCCCAACCTGTAAAACTGGATGCCGAATATCCCCGTTCTATGTTGTAGTCAGGGGCCGGTGAAGTCTGGGGAAAGTAATGGGCGGGTGTTTCATAGAAGGTTCAGCCCTCTCTAGGTGTTAGAGATCAGTGTCTTTCCTCCTTGCTCCATCTTCTCATGCAAATCGAAAGCTGTAATTACTACCTCTAAAACTTTTCTTGCAAAATACTTCTAAAATAAAATCAATGGAGAGATAAATAATGTTATCCTGGGGGGGGGGGGTCTAAGAGTACTACGTGATCCCCACAACCAAAAAAATGTATTCGAAGAAGCAAGTTTTCCTTTAAAAGGACTGTGAATGTAGGATTTCACTTTTTATTTTTATCTTTTAAAAGCTTTAAACGATTTATACCTGAGAGATAATGCCTTAGTTTATTCTGTGGCTTCTCTGACTTCCAGATTAAAAGGCCCCCAGATTGGAAGGCCACAAGAAATTGAAATTACTTGTGGCCTCTCAAGTATTCAGTATTCATTCAAAAAACATTCATTGAGACTGGGGACCAGACATAATCCAGGGGCAGTGCTTTATCTAAACAACTTTTGAAAGGAACATTCACTTTTGAAATACTTTTTCAAAAGGAAGCCCGTATTGGTTCACATGTGCCTGTTCATTGTTTCTTCACTCATCCCTTCATTCCTTCTACATTCCTTCTACACTGAGCCTGCAGCGGGGATGAGACCCACCGCACAGCTGCGGAGGGGCTGGAGCGCAGGCAGGGTGGGTACCCTCCAGCAGTCGGCTCCCGAGTCGGAAAGACGGGCCTGTATAAATACTGGGATGAAGGGGGAGGGTGCACAGCAGGCACCCAAGGAGGGGTGGGGATTTTACCTGGGAGCTCTGGAGACACTCTCTAGGACGGTGATACCTACGTTGGTCTTTCCTGTCGTTCTCCCACACCGACAATTACTACTGAGGTGAGAAGAAAGTAAAGAACATCAATAGTTGATATATTAACAGATTTCTTGCCCTTAGGAGGAGTTACACGTAACAGCTTCAATAATGAATTAACAAAATAAGGTCCCCTGAGACATATGAAGTCATATTCTGTGATTTAGTGTCCTGGCTGGCATGGCTCAGTGGATTGAGCACAGGCCTGCAAACCAAAGCATCACCAGTTCAATTCCCAGTCAGGGCATATGTCTGGGTTGTGGGCCAGCTCCCCAGTAGGGGGTGCTCAAGAGGCAACCACACATTGATGCTTCACTCCTTCTCTTTTTTCCTCCCTTCCCCTCTCCCTAAAAATAAATAAATAGAATCTTTTTTAAAAGGGGGGGATCTGTGATCTGTTCAAATTACAAGCAATTAAGTCTTCAGCTGAAGAGAGATTGACTGAGAAATGTCACTTTGTTTCCGGGTGGGAGTTTATGTCTGTTTTTGGAGGGAGCGTTGGTCTATTTGCTGCGTATGTTGTCCTGACTGGATGCTTGTGTGACCTCTGGAACTGAGCACGAGTGAAATAACCTTGAAGTGAGGGTGACACTAGGAAAGAGGGGACACTAACTGGACAGGGACACCGTGAGCACCTGTGGGGGCAGGCGCCCGCGTGTCCCCAGACTGGGTGTGGGACCTTTCTTACGTGCTTAGCAAAGCCTGTCCGTGGGCCCGGATTCTCCCCCTGACGCATGCGTCGGACAAAGGCAGAGAGGGCCTGGGAACAACAGCCCTGGAGTCTCCCCGAAGGGAAGAGAAGGGTACGTGCTCTCTCCTTGAAACTAATTTTCTCTGATTTCGTGACCAAGCAGTTTGAAAAGGAGACTAGTCTAGATCCTCCATGTTCACTTTGTCTTCAGACGCACCTGCGTTCGCACGTCTGCCCGTGGCCCTCGGCTGGCACGGCTAACCCGACACCGTCGGTGCGACTCCCTCGCTCGTCTCCTCCCGTGTCTGCACGGTAGTGAGGGCACATCCCCTCGGAGTGTTTGTGTGTGTCCCGGTGTCCTTTCTCCCCCCTGCACTGAAGCAAACACAGTTTCTCCTACACTCGGGTGGCACTTTTAGACCCAAACAGTAACAGATGGAAATGTGTCGTTACCTAGTGCATTTGCCTCACCGCCCCCCCAACCAAGTTTCACGTTGTGGTACACTGTCATCCTTCTCTTAAAATATTTTATTTATTTATTTTTAGAGACTGTGATGCTTTGGTTCGCAGCCCACGCTCAATCCACGGAGCTACGCCAGCCAGGCCATAATCCCTTTAACGCCCACTGCCAAAGCTGTTTGTTTCTTACTTTGCTTAAGTTTTATGTGACATTCGACACATAAATATATATAATATATAACATCTACGGAAGTTAGGACGCCTAACCATAAAAGGAGCAACTACAAATCCACTGCTGCACTCAGTACACACGGCGTCTGCGTACCTGCGTGTGCTCGGCCCTTCCTGTCCCGCGTCAGGGGAGATGGCCACGCCCCGCGGTTTCGCGTTCACCTTTTCCTTGCTTTGTTATTTCTTCCTGAGAAAACACATAGCTACATGCACACGGATCTCTAAAGAATTTATGGGTTTTTTAGCTTTTAAAAACATGATGCCGCAGACAGCCATCTGCTCTTGGTTTTTTTCGCTCACCGGGTGTCCGTCTGCCCTGTGCACACATCAGATTCGTTCTGCTGACAGGGAGCGCCTGGGGCGCTGTCACCACGGCCGCTGGTACAGAAATGCTGCCGTGACTCCCTTCTGGGGTGCCCCTGTCTCCCGGGGCACGCCCTGCTCCCACCTCCCTGGGTCCCCTCAGACCGTCTGCCCTGGGGCTGTGCCACTTCACCCCACCCACACCGGTGGGGGGGGGGCCTCCACTCACTCATCAACGCTTATGTTGAAGGTTTCTTAATTTTTGCTAATTGAGTGGGTACCCTGTGCATCTCAGTGTAGTCTTAATTTGTATTTCCCCATCTCTCAGGGAGCTGGGCATCTTTTCCTCAGTTTATTCATCAGAAATGTATCCTCTCCTGATCATTTGCCTAGTCACATCTTTTGCCTGTTTTCCATGGGGTTGTGCATCTTATTTTCATCGAAGTGCAGAAGCTCTTTATATATCCTAAACACTGATTCCTCATACTGTAATTTTGCCCCCCAATACTTTGTGGCTTGTGATTTCACTTCCCTTGTGAGCGGCCGTGTGGCGGAATTCTCCAAATGGGAAGCAGAAGTCTTCGACAGGTTCCTGTGAAAGGCTTTGCTTTCCTGAGCGAAGGAAAAGACAGGCTTTACTGCCTCCCTGTCTACCTTCCTTGAACATGGATGTGACGGTTAGCGCCACAGCAGTCATCTTGTGATCACGAGGAAAAGGACAAGAGGAAGTGTCCCGGGTCTTTACAATGTCGAGTCACTGTAATGACCAGCAACTGGCTCCGTCCAGATTTCCTTCAGCGTAAGAAGGAAAAAAATGCTTACAAGACGTTCATTCACGAGCGATACCAATACAAGACTCAAGAGTATTCTGATTCCCATGACTGAGAAGTCACAGGTGGCATTGTTCGAAGACAACCTTTTACTTGAGCTCATGTCAGGGAATTTCTCGCCCTTGAAACCCTTTTGAATGGATGCGGACGGAGAGGAGACTTTGAAGACAGAAGGATGTCTGTGCATAGCGCCAAAGCCTACGGCTCATTCTGAAGCCCTTGGTTAGGAAAAGGGGCAAAACAAGGAACTCACATTGAGGACTGGTGGAAGGTTCGAGAAGGTAAGCTTGCAAGCTAAAGAGTGTGCCTGGAGGCACAGGACAGAGGCTAAAAATACACAGCGGCTTGCTGAGGGCAGTCTTTCAAAATTAGTGCTGGGCTCCAGCAGTGAGAGGAAGTCACAACCTTTGGACTCCAAACGCTGGATGAGTAAACCTGATTTTGCAAACTGGACTTTTTAGTTTCAAGTTCTTCTCTATGCTTGTTTCCATTTTGGTGTCTTCTGTCTTCCTAAAATCTTGTTTATGGCCCCCAGATGGTCGCCCACGCCCTTTTCAGCTTTGCCGGAGGGGACTGAGGGGCAAGCCGACCGACAGCACTTGCCCCAGCCTACACAGGGGACTGCCTGGCAAGACTTGGTGAAAAACCAGAAAAGGCAAAGTGAACCTCTGTGATCAGAGTCAGGGGTGCATGGATGTGCGACCCGTCTCCCCCAAGAATCTCTCCACCAGGACCCAACTCCAGGGTCCCACTTGGAGGACCCGGGTTTTATGTTGTTTCTTAGGAAGACAATGTTTTCTTAGTAGGCTTCTTGTGATGACTACAGATTGCACAAACCGTGGTTGCCATTGCCTAGCACGTGTCTGATCTAACACCCTACGTATTTTTTCC